GGTGGCGGTGGCGGTGGGGGCGGTGGTGTTGGTGGTGTTGGTGGTGTTGGTGGTGGTGGTGGTGGTGGTGGTGGCGGTGGTGGCGGTGGTGGTAGTGGTGGTGGTGCTGGTTCTGCTGGTTCTGGTTCTGGTGGTTCTGGTTCTGGTTCTGGTTCTGGTGCTTCTGGTGCTTCTGGTGCTGGTGCTGGTGCTGGTGCTGGTGCTGGTGGTGCTGGTGGTGGTGGTGGTGGTGGTGGTGGTGAATTTTTCTTTCCACCTGCGCAGCGAGAGTCGGCAACGTCTTCATATTCCCCGTTGACCCCCTTTGGAAAGGAGCGTTTTCAGCAGATTTAGGCGGATGGCCTCTCGCGTCGAGAACGCGGCTCAGTCGGAAAGTGGTGCGAGAGGCTATGAAGGCGTGGCGGGCCGCTCGTGCTACGGGCTTTGACGAGCTGCGGTACTTGTAGCTGCAACGTCTCACCTCAATGTGGAGAACAAGCGCATTGCTCATTAGCGGGAGACCACATGAATTTCAGGAAAACGAAGAGCGCGCCAGACGTATGGCAACAACAGCCTCGTCCAACTGGTCCAAGCCTTTGCATGCTTTGCACGCATGTCAACCTTTGCCGCCTAGTTTTGGCCCGGCAGGACTAGCCCAGGACGGGTCAGGCGTTGTATAGCCTGCTACTTTTAACCGTGTGCAATCAGGTGGCGAGCAAGCAAACTAGTCCGATTTGCATGACGCATCATGTAATGCTTTGACGCACAGCTTCATTGCACACGTTGCGGCTCTGACCCCGCTTGCCAAGCAAAGGGGGGGCACCCGAATTACGGAAGCCAGCTCAAGTCGCAAGCAGATCGGGCCAAGACCCGTGCTGCTGTGCAGGCAGGAATTCAAATTGGCCGGAGATTGCCCTTGGCCGTTCTGATCTTCCAGCATCCCAGCAAAGTCAAGGAAAACTCCCATCTCCCGTCATTAGTGTTGGTTGATATTAAAAAGGATTTCGTGGATCAGGGAGCACTGTTCTTCGCCATGTCCTTGGCTGACTGCTGCGCGGTGACTGTGCCGCGCCCCGCCCCTGCTTCGGACGCGGATGTGGGGGCTGCTGCAGATTTGCTAGCTCGCTGCCAGCAGACCAGTGAGGACTCAAGTGAAAAGACTTAGAGAGGAAGAGTCAGGGAATCAGGAACCTTTAGGGGCTTGCAAGGTTTGGCAAGTGACAGCGAGGGCACACCTCAATAGTTCCTTGCATCGCCTGAGATGTGGCCAGGGCTCGAACACAGGGGTTCCCCCATTTACATTCATAATCACGAGGTTGATTTCGCACTTCGACCCACCCAATCCCAATATGTCGGTCTGGAGGACCTCGGCAAGCTGGTCCGAGAAGAGCAGGAGTTGCCCTTTGGCTTGGATGGGATTCGTAGCAACGGTACTTGTAATCGTACTCAACAGAATTTAGTGTTTGACGCTTGAGCAAGTCAGAGCATGCCAGCAGATGGCATGGGTTTCGGATGCGCAGCTTGCGCAAATGCAACGCATATGGAGGCTGCGCAACTCTAGACTCAGGAGTCGTAGTAATTAGGTGCTCTCAACAGCGTATGTGGCTGTAGTCGGCGAAGTGAGAGTGCTCTAGGCGCAATCATCCTGAGCTGTGCCCGGCTTCTGTCATCGAGCAGAAGCATAGATCGAATTCAAAGCTGGCTTTTGTTCTGCTGGGAGGCTCTTCAATCTTTCCGTGCAGCTGGACAGGCTGCGGTGCGCTCCCAGGGAGAACCTGCCTCCCGTGGCCCGGCTAAGTGATTTTGACCAACCCGCTTGCAATTCTAAAAAAGCTTTGTCTTGTGGACAGGGTGTTTGTTCTGACTGCAGCCTGCGGGGAAAGCTAGGATCGTGTGCAGTGGGCTGAGAGCCTTCTCAAGCATTCTAACAGGCATCGAGGACGATGCAGCCCTCGAGCCGTGCCCCGTTAAAGGACCGGGTCAGCCAAGACGGAAGGATTGAAAGGAATCCCAGCATCCGGCTTCTGGACAGACAAGCGATACAAGTATTTGATTGTTAGAACCTGCCTAGAAAATCAAAAGGTCTTGTGCGCGTGCAGACGGCCAGGATAGCAACAACTATCATCCCAGTCCAGTCGATCCTGGAGGAGCTTGCAGAGCCTGCTGAAACAGTTTCATGAGCAGCCTTGACCCTGGACCAAGCTGCCCAGTAGCAAGCAACAGTAGGGGTTGCGAGTTCACGATACATTCCTGCCGTCGATTTCTTGGCATACGAAAGATGCACAAAGCTCTGCGACACGTTGTGTTGCAGAAGATGGTCTTGGCGGCGCATTCATGGTGGCTTGTGTGGGAGCATGATGTTGCAAAGGGCTATGTAGATGACAACTAAGCAAAGAGATGTGATTTATTTCGTGGCCGGGAAGCGTGAAAGTGCAAAACGAATTCTGCAAGATGTTCGCGAGTGCGTCGCCGCGATAGACTGAGGTCCAACAGCAAGGCATCATGCCCGCCTCTGGTGCACCATGTTCAACAACCGCTCGATCATAGCCTGCCAGTCTTCTCATATCCTTTAAACCTTTTTCGAAAGACTCAACCCCCAAGACCTACGGAGCACCGCCTGAGTGCGTTTACTTATGCGAATCATGCAGTGCGCGGGAAGGCTTCGCGAAAGACGCGGTGCTAATGAGCTTTCAGGAGATGAATTTCGAGTAATCCTCAATGTAAGGTACCAGCAACTACAGCTCCAACTGCTCAGAAGGAAGAACCTTGAAAACACATGAAAAAGCTTGCATGAAAAGCTAACATGGCTGGGTAAGGGCCGAAGTGACCTCAGACATCTGCATCTCAGCAGCAGGGCCGTACTTCAAGTTATGTCAGCCACAACCACCAACTTGTCCGTCCTCAGACTAGGACCAGGAGAGCGGAAAACGTCACGCGAAGTGCGCTTTGGTCGTCGCAGCTGCGGGCCGCTGGGCCTTCAAGAGCACCAAAACAACAGAGGGTAAGGCCTTTAGGTGCCTATAGCCACCGAAGGTCTCTCCACAGATCCGTTTCGACAGATGTTGCCGAGGCCACAAGCCTCTGAAATCCCGTCTCCTTTGATGGTGCTGCCTGTGAAGCCAGCTGCTGGGTCGCTGTTCAGGAACTCGAGTTACCTCTAGGTTCGTATCGACTGTCTGAAGGGCCTGAACGATTTTGAACATCCTCCCAGCCTCGCGTTTTCCCCAGATTACTGGGACGGTTTGGACGGGTCTCGGAAGGTGCCTGCTTTGGCCTCCAATGAATTTGTACCTCGCTCGTAGCTGGGCTCAGTTCTCCACTCAGGCTTGATGCAGTAGCTACGATGCAGTAAGGATTGGCTTGACCTACAAAAAGCAGGCAGCACCTAGCAAGTACAATGCTGTGCTGCTTGTCACATTTGCAAGGTTCTTTTTACATCTTTTTACAGCTTTCGCAACTAAGGAATCTACTGTGGAGACCATGCGGCCCATTCAGCCGGAGCAAACCTCCAGCCCTCCAAGGCGTGCATTGATGTTATCATACAGTCAAACGGTGTTGGATGAAAAAGGGCTGCTCACACGAGCAGTGTCGGCTTCCGGCATCATATGATACCATTCTTCCATTTGCTGACTCTCAGGGGCCGCAACAGGATTCGCGGGGACTGGTCCAAGGGGAGCGCGGCAAGCCAGCTTCCCAACGAGGGCGTCACCAACACCTACTCGACGCTCGCTTTTGCACATAGCAGTTTTTCGAGCATTTGCTTGACCTTTCAATCAGGATCAACGGCATCAGCAAGCAGCCCATTCAACTTTTCCGCAATTCCTTCGCGGAGTTCGTCAGGCTTGCTGCGGGTGACCAATCCACTTCCGTGAGCCTGAGCAGATCTGAGCAGTTTCAGGTCAAACTTTGCCGTAACGGAGCAGCAACACACCTGCTGCAGCCGAATGATTGTGTGGGTCTCACTGTACTGTTCAAGCGGTCAGATCCTCGAAGCCTAAATGCGCATCCAGGCATCATTCATGGTGTTCTGTGCATGGCTGATGGAGCAGAAGGAGCCGGAGCGAACTGGGTGGCTTGACTGGGCTTCACTGTTGACTCATGCCAAGCATTGAGAAGCGAAAGCGCAGTCATGGCTATGTTCGTATACAACTATGCACAGCACGGTGTATACGGTGTACCTGCTTCAGCTCTACCTGATATACGGAAGGGCTGCACGCGTAGCTCCAGCAAAGGTGCCTGGCCCGCGTAGTGGGCAGCGCCTATTTCGCCTTCGTGTCCACGTTGGTGATCCTAGCGAACGCAGTGTCCTGGCAGTTGACAAAAGCTTAGGGTCTGGAGTAATTCAGGAGATGCTCAGGAAACTGTCAGGAGGCTTGCGGAGGCCGAGCTTGTAGCAAAGGCTGAAGCTTTAAGGCTAAACTTGAACCGTCGAGGCGAACCCTACGTCTTAAACCGTGAACCTTCATCCGCAAACGACTTCACCCCATACTGCATGGTATACGTATACCTTTTCACATCTACGGCAAGATCCAAGATGTGAATTTGCAGGCACAAAAAGTTCAAGCGCTCTTCTTGCACCAGTCTCAGGTCTTCATCCTTTACGCCACGGACTATGAGATGCAGCATCTCAGCAATCCAACAAACCTTCAAATACGGCCCGGGCCTTTGGAAATTGAAAGCTGGAAAGCGGGTTGAAGCGGCCGATGCTATCAAGGAATGGGCACATGAGGTAGACAGTACTGAAATAGCAAGGGAGTAAAGAGTGGGTGTGTCAGACCAGCTTCGGATCCACTCTTTTGAGTCAAGGTCCGTCGATGCCTGCCTTGCTGGCATTTACGTGCCTTGCTCAGCTACAAGCGTGGCAGCACACAAGCCAGAAGCGTTCTTAAAAAAGCTCGTCGCGCAATCCTCTTTGGACATGCAGATTGCAAGGGTGTTGGGTTCAGTTTGACAGACTGTTCCGCCACAGCATTCTTACCATAGGTCCTCAATCTTTGATGGTAAGAGTAGGACCTGGTAAACTTCCCTGCAGCGGGACTTCCCCACTAATAGAGTGGCGGAGAGGTTGCAGAAGTTCTGTTGAAGATCATCGTGCACAGATTGTTCTTCTTCTGGAACAGCGAGTGGTGCGGTCCCCGAAGTTGTACGCAGAGGTTTTTGAAGGTGAAGCAATTTGTGCTGTGCCAACAGAACATGGGTGGCCCAAGGCCTTCAGGGTTTCTGGAAGCTGTGTGAGAGGTACAGCACTTGAAATCGCAAAACATCTTCCTGCTTTGTGCATCTGCTCCTGAACAAGCTGTGCCTACACACTGCCTACACACTGCCTACACGGTAAGAGGTTTGGAGTTGCCAGGTTCACTTTGGTCACAACGTGCAATTTTGCAAACTTGCTCATTGCACCGTCTCGAAGGGTTTGTGCAAACATGGCTGAGAAACCTGCTTTTGCCGACTGTCTGAGGAGATGGAACCTCTTCGACTTTTTCCTCGTAGTGTCAGAAGCTTAGAAGCGGAGCATCAGGCTTGTGCTAAGCTCTGGCATGGCAGATGATCAAGTTTCTTCAAGGGTTTACAATGCTCCCATGGTTTGGTTGTGTCAGAAGCCTGTACCGCCAGCAGCAGCTAGAGCTGGAAATCTCACAGCTTCGAAACACCAAGTCTTAGGACATATCTGTAAGCTTGCTGAAGCATTGCCAGATTACAGATGTTTTCTCCTCACTGTAGTTTTGTACTGCCTACAAGTCTGAGAGATCTCTGCTGCATGGTTGCATGCAGTAGTTCTGAGGACTTCAAAAAGAGCCCCGCAATTTTCATCCAACCCCTGCCATGTGGTTACTCATTTCTGCGCCCTCATCTCGACCAATCGCAAAGGTTCGCAATTGTGGAGAACATCTTGGCCAATGGAAACCAGGATTCCAGGGTAAGAGCAAGTGCAGATGGGGAGAGACGATCAATTTTTTGGTTGGCTCGATCTAGAGCACCAGGGACCTACATAATCGGCAGCATGTCCCTAGTAACTGATGCAGATTTCTAGCCAAGGATTTTCAAGGTCCTGTTTGCTCGCGCAGGACACAAGTGTCAACCTGGGCTTCCTGAGGCCGGGCTTGGCTCTCTGGACACACATAAATCGGTTTTTGTGGCGTTTGAAATGCATCCTGATTTGGAATCTCATCCTCATGAGAATGCAAATGATGTGTCGGACGGCGCATGCTGCTTACTAGAGTGCTGCGCGCTTGCTGATGTGAGTGAATGCCCTGACCATGCTGGAGGGTTGCAAAAAATCTCATCCTCATGAATTTCTGGAACCGAACTCAGGATCCGATTCAGACTTGTTCTGAGTGCGCTTCGACCTGCTTTTCGCAGGCTTTTCCGCCTCTGCAAGATAGTGAAGAGCCTCCGCCTCTTCCGCACCTTGAAGTTTTTCAGTGAGCTTCGGCTTATGCTGGACTGCAGCTCAAGCTGCAGATAATTGTTTACAAACCTCGGCCTTCAATCCGTCCATCTTGTGACTGCAATGTGTTTGCTCTCTTGCAGGCATGATTGGTTCCTTGCTGAATGCAGGAAACTCAGAACATTTTGTCAGGAATTTCGGTGCGAGGCTTCAGGGTGCACTTCCTTTGTCTACTCAGGTGATCTGGTGCGTCATCATGTTGGCGGCTTGCCTCTAAGCTAACTCTTTCCAACACGTGAACCACGATACTACCTGCATGTAGGATGCTACTGCGACTGTCCCAGATCCAAAAAATCCAACTTCTTATCATGCAGCCAGCCAGACTGGAATTCCACACTGCAAATAATCAAGCACCTGGTGTGCTTTTTTTGGGCTACTCAGTTCTCCACTTTTCTTGGCCTGCACCTGCAACGCTAATTGCCCAACAGCTTTTCGTGATGTATGTCTTCGCGCTCCTTGTCCAGCAGCTCCTGGCTTCGTATCTCGTGGATGATGGCGGACGCGAGAGTTGCTAAGCGCATTAGCTCCACGTTAGCTCCGCATCAGCTATCTAATGCAGTCCGCACGGTTGGTAGTTGGTAGTGATCAGCGCAGTGAATTCAGCTCATGTCAAGAGTTCAGACTGCAGTTGTGTACTTCAACGCCTCACCATGATGAGTGGATGTTAAGTTTATCCGGGCTGGGTTGCGCGGGATTTCCATGTACTGCGCCGGATGCCAACTTGATTCACAAAGTTTCTGCGCGTCAGGGCGTAGGTTTGTTCGTAGAGAGTGCCATCCTAACTTGAATGCCCCATGGAGGGGCATGAGCCCATTTGGTACCATGATCCCAGGCCCTGAGGATGTCCAATTGATCTACAGCTTCTTCGGCTCCGTTATGGCCCTAAGAGAATGCAGACGCGCAAGAAAGCCGCCCTCAACATCCGCTTTGCAACAAAAACCGGCAGCCTTGAGCTGCCGCAAGCTGCCAAGCTGCAATGACTCTTAGACCCTCTTTCCGAGGTGGGCATGACCTTGGTCACCCTCTTCCAAGCGAGCACGTCCGGCGTGGACTGGAGGGACCCGTACAATGTACTGGCTGTGTCTGGGCTTGCCGCCCAGTGGAAGGTGCAAGCAGCAGGGTCCTGTTAATCTCAGAGAGCACGATGATAATGTTACTTGCTTTGTTTTTGCGTGTGTATCATGCATCTGCAGATTTGCTTTGCTGAGCTGCTTTGGCGACCCAGGTCAGTTTTACCCGCTGCCTTCCTCTTCTATGTAGCCTTTGTCTTCATATCTGTCTGGAGCCTCGTCTCCAGCGCCAGAAGCAACCACTGCCCCAAAGACCTGCAGAACGTGCTCAGATGGGCAGGGCCATCTTCTGACTCTAAGCTGTGACACGGAACATTTCAGGAGCATCATCACCAGCACCTTTGTGGAGAAGGCCTGGGCCTTGTCAACTTTACTGTCTGGAGCTTTGAAACACTCTTCATGTAGTATGATTGCCCTGGTGGAGCATGATAATCTTTTGGCATCATCATGCTCAGCCAGCAGACACCGCTTTGCAGTGACCAGTTGAGGCTAAGGTACTGAGACCTAGGTCTGCCTCTCTACCTATCTTACTGCCCTTCTCTGTCTCCCTTCTGCTCATGACCCTTCCACATCCTGCAATCATCCCGATGTCTCCGGTCTAAATCAATGATGTTCTAGGCACTCAAGCTGGCCCAACCGGATATCGATCTGCTCGTCATGGAGCAGCAGCTCCAGGAGGGTAGGATTCAATAAGCTAGTATGAATCTCGATGGGGAGTACGATTGCGCTTACCAGGACTACGAAGACACGCAGATGTTGGCTTGGAGCCCATGTGGGGTTGATTACTTCTCTTGGTTTACAATAACTCAATTTCTAAGAGGCCTATGTAGTGGTAACATGCTTTTGAGAAACACCCACTTGAATCTGGACTGCGAAGCATCACGAACCAGTCCTGCTCGCTTTGAGAGATGCTGCACATTCGGGATCATCTTTGAAAGCTGAGGCCCAACTCTTCGCCCAGATGCTTCACACGGATGAGGATGGTCTGCAACGTGTTGGGCCAGGGCCCGAATGGGAGCGCGTTCAGGCCAATCATGTTCTGCGTGGGACCTTGTGTGCTGCGGTTGCAAGATTCTTTCACTACTGTCGTGTATGCCCCTCAGGCTGGAGGAGTTCCGGCACTTGGTGGAGAACAGCGAGTTCCGCTCCTACTTGCAGACCAGGTGCAGGCCTCAAAAGCTGTACACATGTTACTTGGAAGCATGCCAAATCATGGTAGAGGGATACTGCATGTTGTGCTGGTGTACTTCCTTATTGGAAGTGCCCCTTCGTCGAGAAAAACTACGAAGCATCTCTGTCGCAAGAAACACGCTCCCTAGTACCCATATGCTGAACGCCTGATAGAGACAAACATAAGTGACAGAGTCTGTTATCTCTTAAAACACATGGGCAACCGCCTGCATTGTCGTGTAGGAGCCAAGGTTAGACAGAGATAAAATTGCTTAGGCGTGAGCCAAGCCTTCAAAACAACAACAAAATGGGCGACGTATAAGAATCCCAGCCGAAAGCAATGTGGGTCATCCAGGCAAGGGATCTGGCAAAGCACTGTCAAGGAATAGGCATGAACACGTCAGTGTTCAAAAAAACCTGTGACACGATGGGCTCCCTGCAAAAAAATACCCTCTCTTTTTTTCTTTAGCAGTCTATGCATCATTTACGCAGCTATGTAGATGTCTAACACAGAGTGCTTTTAAACGACATACAAAACATTTTTTGTTGCGCACGCATCAGCTGACCAACGCGGACCGCATTTCGAAGTGTCTTCTGCGGTGTATAGAAATGAGAGGGGACTGCTGTGGCGTGCGTGAAAAGGCATAGTCTACAGGTCAGCGAGGCATCAATTCTGTTTTTTCAGCTCTATGTATGTCCCCTTCAAAGGCCTCATGTTGTTCTAGGACAAGGGTAGACCATTGCTACCCCCATGGATTAAGAATGAGTGATAAGCATTTCGGCTTTGGGGTCCATTGCTTAGGGTCTAAGGTCTAGGTTCTAGGGTCTAGGGTCAGGGTATGGGATGGGACTGTTGTGGGCCCATGCATTTTGAAATGTAAGCATGTCTGATGCCAAAGAGCAGGCCTATCGTGGCTGTGCACATTCCTTAAGGAAGGCATATCTCATTGAAAATTCGCATGTAATTCTACGTGCTACATATGTTACAGATGTAAACAGCATTTCTGAGATCTTAGGCTACTGTTCTCCTCATTTTTCTATATTCAAGATGCTGTAAATTTAGATCTCTTGAGCTTTTTATATGAATCAGCCTCTTATCCACAATATTCTCATGGTCTCCAATGAATGCGATGTTCTGATTAGTTGCTAACTCCTCTTGAATCTGAGTCACATCTGTTCAGGAATAGTGTAGGGAAAAAACAAGCCACAGACTTGCAAACTCCTCCTTTAGCTTGAAATACCCTTAACATGGTATTTATACATAGATAGGAAAGCGAACGGGAGCCCAGGATTTAAACAATTCTGTTTAGAATTCGCCATTGGATTGGAGAATTTCTTTTTGAATGTGAAGCATTCTTTGGGTGTACCTGTTTACTAAAGTCAGTGTGAAAGCTTGTGTGAAGGGATTTGTGTAAGAGAATTTGAGAAATATCCTGGAAATTCGCAACCATTTCAGTAGAGTTTTTAACAAGGTCCTCCCTAAACTTGACAGACTTGTGGCACAACATGAAAGACTCACTTTTGGACTCTGTGGATACGAAGACTATGGAGAGGGAGCATATTAAATATAGAATTCCTTTCACCCACATGCACATGGGAGTTTTTGGAATATTCCGTTTTTTTGAATACAGGGGGCAAGAAATATGTAAAGCCAAAAACAGCCAACAAGTCCTAGATAAGGCCATCGGTAGAACCAAACCTCTGTTCTCACGAACGGAATAGAAGTCTCTCTCCTCCACAACAAAGATACAAGAGAATTACAATTGACTTGAGAGAAGTGGAAGCTCCAGTTCCTTGCAGGTGTTTCCTTTGATCCCATAGAAATTCAGAGCTGCGTGGTTTAAAGCACATGCGCACCAGGTCCAAAAAATAAGCAAACAAACAATAAAGATTTCCACACTACCCGGATCATGAGACTAGTGCGGAAATCATTGTTTTGTTTTTGGCTTGTGAGTGTGTGTTACTTGGTTTCTGAGCGCATGTGTTTTAAAACAAGTACGAGTAGTCTCGTTATCCGGTACCACACGTTGTCCACTACTACACAATGATCTTCGATGCACCTTCTGACTGGTATTTACCAATGACTCTGTGTTAGGCTGATCCGCACAGAGGCCACTGGCTTAAAACTATTCATCCTTGTTTTAAAACACACGGAACTAAAAACGCAACACAAATCCAGACTAGTCCAGACCCTGGAGTAGTGTGGAAATCTTTGTTGTTTGTTTTTGTTGGTCCTGTGCTCTTCTATCCACCCCCAAACTTCGCCATATAAGAGAACTCAAGCTCCCGTTGATTTTATTGAATTTCTATGGGATCAAAAGAAGACCTGCAAAGAACTGGAGCTTCCACTTCTCTCAGGTCAATTGTATCCCTCTTGTCTTCATTGTGGGCCAGGGATCTCTCAAACCTTTCTGACAGAGATTGCCGCAGGTGCGTAGTATGAAGCGTGTTTAGCACAATAGGAAAACACTTCTTGTCACATGTCTACTGAGAGGCTGAAACTCATATATCTGCAAGGTTCCTTTTTCACGATCAAAACACACATGTATTCGTAATACAAAGTGCTTGAATCGCAAAGGGACGAGACGTCGTATGTCGCATCTGCTGAACACATTGTAGGGGCCAAGATGGTTGAAAGCGTCTGTTTAAACAGATACAAATGTGTGTGATCCTACACAGATGGAAGAACGTCGTGTAGACGCAAATACGAAGGTCTTTGGTATCGCCACAAGCCACAAGAAACGACTTATTGTTACAAGTCTGATGAACACAGCGTAGAGGCCTCACAGCATGTAGATGCACCATACGAACTGTCGTATAATTGTGTACGGGGCCACCATAACTGGAATTGTCTTCTATCGCGAAAACAGCATTCAGAGTCACAGGCAATAGTAAGTGTCTTTATCGCATTGAAAACACTCCGTGGCACCGATCTGCTGAAACGCAGTATAGGGACCAACAGAATTGGATCACAATTCAAAGGCGCTCCTTATCGCCTTATCGCGCGTCTGGTAAACGCATTATATTGGCAAACAAAATTACTCAAAGCTGGAAACGTCGTCGGCTGCGATAAAAACACTTGTGTGTAAGAAGAAGCGCTTCTTCTTGTTGAACACAGCATAGGCACCAACATGACTGGAAGTGTTTTGTATCGACACACCATATTACATAATAAAGACGCCAATGTGTTGAAACTTAATTGGGACCAACACAGCTGGAAGTGTCTTGCCTTGCTAGAAGCACGTGTACATGCGTAGTACGAGGGGAAGTCATTGCAATGAAGCACACTTCTTATTCCGAGAGGCCAACACAACATGTTTCGACGTGTCTGAGACCCAGGTTTCAAGTTCTCAGGAGTCAAACCTCCGTGCCATGAGAGGTAGCTTTTTGTTGGGCACCAACGACAAGGTGATCTTATCAAAGAGCGTGTGCGAAAGGATCTGAGAGGATTTGCAAGATGCTGAAGCGTGCCTGTAAAGACCAAGTCATCTTGTTTTGCAGATGGGGTGAAGCAGAAAGCAGTGTGTTTAGCAGCACTTCTTAGCATGAAGTCTGACAGGTGAACACACCGAAATCAACAACGTAAGTAGGCAGAGCGCAAAAATGGCAGTCGCGCTCGTTGGAATCGGAGTGCACGTGTCAACTGTTGAATTTCATATACAGCTGTGTTGGAGACCGATAACTGATGGCAACAAGCACCATAAGCGAAACACAGAAAAACCCAAAAATGAGGGGTGGGACTTTCTACCGAGGTCCTGCAAGTGGGGTGGGCCATTCGAACGAAATTGCCCACAGTGTGCTAGAGCAGAGGGCTGTTAGAGGAAGAACTGCGGGTGTCAAACCAAGGGATGTTGACATCAAGAACGCTGAGACGTTTTTCAAGATGCTGGTGGAACTGCAACTGTGCTTTCACTAGGAGCCAGCGCGTTTGATGCTCACAAACAGCCTCGAGTGACTTAGGCATGGAGAGCCCACCATCGATGCCGTAACATTCGCAAACGCTTGTGTGCGCATGAAAGGCCATCCTTGCTAAGAAGTGGTGCAGCCCATGGTGACCTCAAAAATTTATAAAGGTTCACAGTCAGCAGAGTTGCTTCATGCTAGCAGAACACACTCGTTCTATTGATAGTGGGGATCTAGGGAGGGCCAGGTGCTGCAACGAGCATCGACCTGCAGACAGCCTGGGCCTCCAGACTTTGAGTTTGAGCTGTTTGCTGAATCCCTGGTGCATTGCTAAGGTCATGTACACTACGCATATGATGAACAAGGAGCAGCGCCGTGCTTTCCAGTTTATGCACCCTAAGCATTTTTGTTCGTATTTTTGAGATTCATTGGCCCGTCAAGGAGCTTGTACTTGTGACTGCTTGAACTGCGCGAGGTACAGCCGTTTGAAATCAATCGAGTCCATGATCCGTAACGATGGCACGCCAGCTGAAGAACACGACTGGCCGTACGCGACCCCCGTCCCGTTCGATTCTCAGAGTACTTCACAGCGTTTGCATGCTTCAACTGCTTTGATGTGGGTTGAGGAGACGGGTCATTTCATGTGCAGAGGGGATGATTATTGCATTTCGGGAGTTTGAGACATGAGGAAACAGTATCTTCACCTGCAACCCTGCTTCCTCATGGCACTTCAGCCTCTAGAGTGCTTTGCACAAAATGTTTCTCCGGGCAGTCCGCCCAGCTTGTTTTGCGCAAGCGCCTGCTCCCTGCCACTGACAGACCATGACAGACTCAAATGTATAAGCATTTCGGGGGGCGTAGGATGGGCAGAACTCTTTAACCTGGCGAGAGCTGCCGGGCACGGCTTGAGGATGGATCTGGAAACTGCGGATGGTTAGGCCTCCCGCCTGTAACCCCGTGGGCCTACTAGAACTTCCGCGCCCTTTGTGCGGCCTTTGTTCAGGTTTGTGTATCTTGTGTGCATTCCTGTTGGTGCACAGATTTGGTAGTGACCGCTTTCGTTGATTCTTGGTCGCAGGATTGCAGAAGATAAGTGTTCATTCGCCCCCTTGGCGACCTCACACACGGCTTGCCCAACGACAAGATGTGAATTACAGGTTGCGAACTGTCTCGAAAATAGGAAACTTCTAGAATCCTAAAAGCCTAACCCAGCAAATCTGTAAAAAACTGTAGTCACGGCAGCTGGCAGGCTCGGTGGGAGCTGCCCATATACCGTGCAAGCCAAGAGCCCTGCCTACATCCTGTAAGCGTTAAAAAGCCTTATAAACTCTGTATATCCTATCCCGCAAACACCTGAAGCCTCCAAACCCAAGCACTGAATATTAGAGCTGAAGCACTCATCCGCGGATATGCCAGAATAAGCCCTACACTACTGTGAGTTCCAAACAGTTTGGATTGAAAAGAGCCCTCACCGGCAACCCCAACTTTTCATTATCCCTAAAGCCCTAATGCTCCAGGTCTCCGAAGAGCCAGCAGCACTTGAACCAACAATGGTCTGGTGGGCTGTCCCGGGCTTGGCCCTCCCAAGTCCTGCTCAGTCTTATCGATCAGGAACAAATATCGTAGAGCATTATATATTTCTGAAAATGCGCTACAAATAATGCGTGATTCTAGCTAGATATAGAGATGAGCAACCTGCTGCATAACGGTACGTACTCCAAATTGCTTATACTGCGCGACACCCTTTGAAGTTAAGCGCCTGTCCGCCTAGGGGTCCTCTGTCCCGGGGCCTGGCGCTGGCGCAAGCCGAGCATTGAGAGGCAAAACTGGCACTGGCACCAGCCATTTGCTATGTCGAGTCTAAAGGGTCGTCCGAGCATGCGCATCACGGGCAAGAACATGGTTTTCCATGGTTTTTCATGGTTTCTCATGCGCTTGAAGACATCACAAAATCGTGCAACAAGAGATGCAGTCGCCAGCACGCTTCCAGCAATGGCGTGCAGCGTAGTGCGTCCAAGTCGCCAAGAACACATCGGCCAGCGTGCCAGGGGTTTCCAAAGAGAGCCCCGTTATATCACACATCGCCTGAAGGCCTAAGCACAGCCAGAGCAGTGCCGCAAGCGTTGGTCCAAGTCCAAAAGGTCAGAAGTGAAACGCATGAGCACCGCTGCCGCACCGTTGCCGAAGAGGTGAGCAAGCCCAACTCACATAGGATCGCCTAGCACGCGCGAACAGTTCTTGCTTGCAGCTGTCAAATCGTGAAGTGCAAAGAGGACCCCAATGCCGCAACGATCAAGACCCTTAACAAGCAAACGTTCAAGCAAAAAGACCCCTAAAGAGCGCTGCCACGTTGATTTGACCAACCTGAGATGTACAGGGAAGGTCATCGGAGGCGCAAATGGCAGAGACTGTTTGTCCTTCCAATCCCCGCATGTGGTTGTGGGGCATCTGGCCGGAAAACCCACACCACCAGCAACAAGAACCATGGCCAATAACTCAACCCATGAAACCTCAAAACGACTGCTGGAGGATGACGTGTCCTGCTCAATCAAAGGCTGGCATACTGACTGTACAAAACGACCAGGCAAATCTGGGCAACTGCATGCTGCCAGAAAACCATTCAGTGGGACTTCGTCATGCAAACGGCTCACTGCAACGGCTTCCTCAAGATCGCCTGAACGCTCATCTGAAGGGAGCCTCGCAGCAAATGCTTCACGTCCTTGACCACTGCGGTCCACAATGCCAAAATAGAGCCTCAAAGGGCACGCATGACCTCGATGATACGATGATTTTACCAAGGCGTCTCCACCTGCACGGGCCAGAGAGAACTCTCTGTGATTATGGAATGCCAATAGATATGCTACCTGCACAAGTCCATACGGTCACCATTCTACAGGTTAGCAGCAGCGCTGCGTGCTCGATTCATACAATGCTGTCAGTGGATGGTAGTTCTGAGTGACACGACCAAGGCGGCAGGCGCTTTGCCTGAGAGGTCTGGCCCTATGAAGAATGACCTGGAGGGTTTGGGACTCCTGTAGCCAAAGAACGCGGTTCGCCTGTGTCATCTCGTCGACCAGTCTCCTGATGAGAATGGAATGGTCCGGAGGTCTCCTCATCGTCAAGAACCGGGATGGCTCCAAAACGTAGGACTAATATTCAATTCGTATTAAAGTTTTGCCGCCTGGATGGATTTATCTCCAGGAAAAGGTCGTCATTATTAGGACTCAATTCAATAGACGGGTCACTAGGAGGAATCGATTAAAGAAGGCGATATAATATTATCATCAAAGAGAAAGGCTATAAATAAAAGATATAGAGATTAGGACGATGCGTATTTCGTTACAGAAGCGAACGATACGATTAAGAAAAAAGAATTTTATCAAAAGGAGACGCGAGATATCTAAAAAAATATAGATATCTATATATAATTATATATATATACGCGTGTCTGATATAAAGAGATAAATCGAATTTAATAAAGATACGAAAATCTAGTAATATTATCTATTATGAATTAAAAATATATTTCTGTTCTTATTCTTTCAAATCTCTCATTAAATTGAAATCTTATGATGATGAAAATAAGTCTGAATATAACGTATTTCGAAAATTAGATTTTAGCAAAATTATGATAAGATTTTTTTGCGAAATGAGAGTTTTTCTTTTTCTGGAATGAATGAAAAAGAAAATGGGGTTGAATTAAAAAATTAGGATAAATAATTTATGAATATTCAAGATGATAATAAAAAGAATTTTTGATTAAGATAATTATTGAAAAGATGAATTATTATTTGCGGATATATATGGGAGCATTTATTCTTTTATTAGAATTAGGAATTTATTCGTAATTGTAAGATTTTTATAATTTTATTACTAGAAATGAAAAAAAATATTTTTATATTTATTTAAGATTGGCGTAGAAATTTTTTATTACTTGGAATAGATTTATTATGAAATTTCATGGTAAAAATTTTTTATTATTTTAATATCGGGA